TACATTCATGTTCTTGATTTATGCTTTCTTGATTCACTCATCTTATCCTTGAGCCTTTTCCTACTTGTTAAGAAAAGCAAACAAAAGTGTGGGATTCAGAGTGTCCCAGAGATTTTATCTGCTTTTAACAAAGGGAGTGGAGAAGTCAGGAGATACATTCTGGATTTTTGAAAAAGCTGTGGAATTTCCCTCCTCCGCAGTGTGGAGTTCTGGTTTGCAGGTTTGCAAGTTATAATTTGTGCTGTAGATTATTTTGCCTAGTTCAGGCAAGGCAGCAAGCTATAGCTTAGTGTGAACCCAGAAGAAAGCAAGGAAATCAGTGAATGTGTCGTAAATAGTATAGTAATAGGGAGAGAAGGTAACCCCCCCCCCTCCCCAAATAGTTCTAGTAGGCAAATTCTGGAGGGAAGAGATAAGTGGAACTAACTGTAGGGTCTTTGGTGCTCTTTGAGCTTGGTTGTTTTCTTGCAGAAGTTTAATTACCCAACTAGATAACATCATCAGTGCTAGAAAGGAGTGGAGTTCATTCTCTTTTTATATACTAGTGGCTTGTCCTGTCATTGTTGATGAGACAGTTCTCACTTCGGGCATTGAAGATGTTACCTAGTTGGGTAACAAAATGTCTTCAAACTTAGAGAGTATCAAGGTCCTCACCAAGCATCACCATTTAGATATATACATATTTGTGTTTACAAAATCATTAAATGCATTGCTAAATGTGGGTTTTTTATTTTTGCAATGTACCAGAAAGTTGAGAAGAAATTAAAGAGATTTGAGACTTTGTCCAGCTGTCTGTACAGTGCAGGATATTGCTTCCAAATGGAATAAAATGGGACCAAGCTTGGTATGACAAGAGAAGCCAGCAGAACAAAGATTGAGTTTAAAATGTGCTGGATCTGGGTGACTGTAAAATAAAATGCATTTAGAAATCTCTTTGGATCAAGGAGTTTTTATGTATTTATTAAGAAATGTTATACAGTTGCCCAACTCACTCACAGTCCTCTGGGCAGCTTACAGAAATAAAACCCCAAATATAAAACCCAATAAACCCCACCCCACGAACGATAATAATCAAACCACTTGGTGGGTTCCATATCACCCTGGGGTCTCCAAGTCCATGGGGCAAAACCAGATCTTCAGGACCTTTCGAAAGAGAATCAATGTGGGGGCCAATCTTTTCTGTACAGGGACGATATTTCACAGAGAGGGAGCCACCATGGAGAAGGCCCTTCTTCTTGGTCCCATTAAGATGGGCCTCTTTGCAAGAAGGGAGGCGTATCATACCCTGCCTCCCCACTCTGGTGGGACAGATGGAAGTAACTGGGAAATTGTGGTCTTTCAAATAATCTGGTCCCAAGCCATGTTGCTGATCATTCTTTTCTAGGCCCCTCCCTCCTCCCTCCTGGTCACATGACCTGAGCGGGGCAGATCTAGCATCTGTATATGCTCACATACAGAGGTGCAATGCAACGAAAGTGTACACACACACACACACACACACACACACACACACACACAGAGTTATTTTGTTGCACAGAAAATACAGAAAGAAAGCATTACCTCAGAAAGTATCCAGTAAACCACACTCAATAGGCTTTCTTTACCTTGTTTAAGAGACTGGGTTTCCCTTTGTGATCTCTGTACAGGTACTCCTTGACTTACAACAGTTCATTCAGTGACCGTTTGAAGCTACAACGGCCCTGAAAAAAGTGACATGACCATTTTTCACACTTAGGACCATTGCAACACCCTCATGGTCACATGATCTCTATTTGGAGGTTTGGCAATTGGCTCATATTTATGATGGCTGCAGTGTCTTGGGGGGGCTCATGTGATCCCCTTTTGCCACCTTCTGACAAGCAAAGTCAATGGGGGAGGCAGATTCACTTAACAACCATGCTACCAACATAACAATTTCAGTGATTCATTTAACAATGGTGGCAATAAAGGTCATAAAATTGGGCAAAATTTACTTAATAATAATCTCATTTAGCAACATAAATGTTGAGCTCAGTTGCAATTGTAAGTCAAGGACTAGGTCAGAGACTTGTTCAAGTGTTATTTTTTAAGAAAGGCATTTAACTGTATCTTGAACAATACTGTTATTCTCAATTGATAGTAGTTAATTTCTTTTCCTAGTACATAGTGGTTAAACTAGGACCAGGGAGGCCATAATATTAATCCCTGTTCAATTGTGAATGGGTAACCTTTGGCCAGCTACTAGCTTAGTTTATTTCACAGGACCATTGAGAAGAATACATTGGGGAGATGGGGAAAGCTGCTGGACTCTATGTATCTTTCTTGGAGAAAGAACTTACAGGTAGTCTTTGAGTTATGACCGTAATGGAGCCTACTCCTCTGGTCATAAGTTGCATTGGTCATAAATCAACTCACCCACAACCTTTTTCAAAGTGGTTAGTAAGCAAACATTTTAGGTATTAAATGAACCAGTGATTCGTTATGGGCCAGTTTTGCCAAAATCTGGAAGTAAATACTGGTTTTCAGCAAAACCGTGATGCAGGAGACTGCAAATAGCCATAAATGCAGAGCAGTTACCAACTGCCCAAAGTGTGGTCATGTGACCGTTGGGGGAGGGAGACCCAGCTATCAAAATTTCTAATCCAGGTTGCAAGTACCCCCCAGGGAGATCCATCATAACTTCAAATGGTTGCTAAGTGACTGATCAGTCAAGGATCACCTGTAAAATAATTTATAAAGAAATAACATCTGTAGAACCAGCAAAAATCCAGTGGAAGTTTCTCCATACTCATCACGCAAGCAAAGTTTCAGCCATTAGAAAACTGTTTTTTTTCCTTTGTTTTGAACCAGAAGAGAATAATATTTAGCATTCTGCTCTAGTCTGTAGCCAGGGAATAAAAATGCTCTGGATTATACATCCATTTTGTTTTAACTCTGGTCTTCTAAGAGAAGAGATGGCTTAATTGCCAAGATTGTCTGCAGTTATGGGTTAAATAACATGCAGGTCATACACTGTGGGATATGCCTTAGAGACTGAGATGGATACAGACAAGACCACACTGTTATTGATTGAGCCATCTTAATTATCATGAGTTAATGGCAATGAGCAACAATGTTCTTTTAAATATGAAATCATTTACCATGCTTTTAGTAACTGATTTTTTAAAATTTTTATCTTTTTTGTTAAACATACATAACATTCCTTCTTCCTATTTTCCCCACAATAACAACTCCTGTGAGGCGGGTTGGGCTAAGAGAGAGCGACTGGCCCAAAGTTACCCAGTTGGCTTTCATGCCTAAGGTAGCACTAGAACTCCCTGCCTCCTGGTTTCTAGGCCAGCCTCCTCGATTGCTAGACCAAACTGGCTCTCAGTATTCTGCAGGAATTGAAACGGCAAAGGAAACTGTGACATATTTGAATTGGATAGAGATGCAGATAATCAGAAAGAACTTCAAGAGACTTTTCTCTTGTAGTGAAGAATGGCTACAGCTAGAGAGGCTTTTGTGTGAAATCTTATATAGAACCGATCATCGTGCTTGCTTTATAATCTGCTTAATTCCAGTAGGATTTATTTATTATTTTCAGGGTGCACCAAAAGTCAAGCCCCATAGGCCAATAGACCAGTGTTTCTCAACCTCAACAACTTAAGATGCGTGGACTTCAACTCCCAGAATTCCCCAGCCGCACATCTTAAACTTGCTGAGGTTGAGAAACATTGCAATAGAGAATCTGAAGGAGAACAGCACATCAAAATTTGCAAGCATCAGAAAAAAATGTTACTGTTCTTAAGAACGTTCAAGGATAATGCATCAAAATAGAAAAGAAGTAGTTAGAGGAAAATGGCAACCAATTCAAACATGCAATGTAATTTATAAAATAAGCTATCTATGGGGTCTGACTTTTGACACACCCTGTATATTAAAAATGGACATAGGTAGTCCTCAACTTATGACCGGTTGCTTAGTGACTGTTCAAAGTTACGTGCATCCCCAAAAGGTACTTAGGATCTGGATTTGAAGTTCTGAAGGCTGTTCCCTTGTCACATTTTGGGTGCTTGGCAATCGATCCATTTTAGGGCCATTTGCAGCATCCTGTGCTCATATGACTGTGATTTACAACTGTTTTTGCTGGGAACTGATATTTACATCCAGTTTCTGGCAACAAAAACATCCTTTGCAGACAATGGGTTTACTTAATGACCTTTGCTTTACCACTGTGGTATTCATTTAACAACCACAATGTTCACTTTATGACGGTGTGCTTAACAAACACCGCAAAAAAGGTCCTACATCTCGCATAGTCATATTATAATCCATTTGACAACTGGCATGACTTATGACCATAATTCTGGACTCAGTTATGGTCATAAGTTGAGTACTATTTGTATTACAAATTTAATATACTGTAAATTAGAGTTCTCCCTTCTAAGGGAAGCTAAGTCTTAGTATGCTACCCTGTGTTTTTCAGAGATGAGGAAGGCATGTTTAACCATAAATATGCTATGCCAATTTCATAAAAATCCAGATCAGCAATGTTTAAACTCTCTACTGAGGAGAACTAGATGCTACATAATTAAAACATGTTCTGAAATCGTGTGTTGCTTATTTTACAGGATTTAACAAAGCTTACAGTTTTTCTGTTTGCTCTTTTGTTTTGCTTATTGTTGACACTGGAAGGGACTGAGTGGGAGGGGGAAATGGAAAAAGGGAATAAAGACTGCAGGAGAAAAAGAAAAATGGAATTATTTATCCAATAAAGAAATGATTCTTTGGTACGCACACTCCAAAAATACCACATGAGTCAACGTCTGAGCGGGATTAAAAAAGCCTTTATTTCTTATGAACACCCTAAAATAGTATCGAAAACCCCAAGCCCACCCCCAATCTGGATTCTTGGGTCCCTGCCCCACCCAAGCCCTGCCCCATTCTAGTGTGGGGCACTGCCCCATGACCCCTCCCCAGCGAAACCCCTCCCGCTCAAAGAAATACCACCCCTACCCCCTTAACCCGCTCCCTAAAACAGCATTTCTAAAGTTATTACTAAATTGCCCCCCCCCAGGAAAAGGGACCAAGAGAGACACGAGGAAAAAGAGAGAAAGAGAAGGAAAGAGAGAGAGAAAAGAGAATAAAAGCACAATTGGGAGAGGCAGAAATTATGGACTTCTCGATGGGTGTCTATATGTGAGGGGCATTGTGTGTGTGGCTCTGAGTTTCCACATATGGTAGTATCTCTGTCTTAATTGAGACGTACATCACGGAAGTGCATATTCTGCTGCATGTTTTCAAATAGGCTACGGCTTCTTTTGAGTTCCTACTGCAGTGTCACTGGAGCCTCTGTGTTTATGGGACATGAAATGAATTGCTGGCATCCAAGCTGGTCCTCTCTGGGGTGCTATGACCATCCATCCTTGGTTGCTATAGACTAAGGGGCTACTTCACATAAGACAGACCCAGGGATGCACAGTGGAAGGAAGTCTTTTGCTACACTTCACAAGTGACAGTGGGGATACACTTACCTCATGAGAGGGAAAATATCGAGAGAGCCACAGTCCTATTACAATCGTTCTTCGAGAATGCACCGCCAGCGTAGAGCATATGCACAGGTGGGTGACAGTGACCCTGCCTTCCTGCGCTGGGGATGGAGGCCCTGTGCTTGTGACATTGACTGCGGTTCCTTTTTATTTTTTGCTGTGCAGACTCCTGTCAGCCGCACACTAGCTTCATTTGGCGCAACGTGGGTTTCAGTTGCAGAGCTGGACTACTCTGTCTGCTGGCATGATCGGTATGTGCTTGTATGTCTTTGTGCTTGACTGTAGATGTGTAACTGGGAGTGTGTGTGTGTGTGTGTGTGTGTGTGTGTGTGTGTGTGTGTGTGTAGAGAGAGAGATTTTCTTGCAGTTCAGTGTTTGGCAGTGTATGCACCAGTTTGGGAGTGACAGTGTATTATTGTGGCACCTGGCACTGGGCCACTCTTGCTGCTACTGTATTGGAGAACTTGGAGGGTTGGGTGGGACTTTGCAGACCCTCAGATCCAACCCCAGCCCTGAGACAGGACGCCCTGTTCCTAAAGCCAGTGCCCCACCAGCTTAGCATGTTCTATGGCTGAGTAGTTTGGGGTGTGCCAGGACCAGCTGGTTTTCCCAGAAACAGTCTTATTCCCCTTACGTCTCCCTTAGGGCTCTATTAATTTTCAAGAACATGAGCACCTCAAGGAAAAATGATGGGAGGACAGGGAATAACTGACACCACAGTGTTTTTCATTATTGGTGACAAAATGTCATGAGATCAGTGCTTCCTTTAAATCCCAGTGGTGTTCATGATTCAATCTCATGTCTTCGGCTTCCTCTCACCTTCCAGTTCATTAAAAGCTCCTTCTTTTGTGTCTCCTTCATGGGTTCTCTTCCAACACTTTAAAACAGATGCGAGGACTGCCACCAGGTCTCTCTTCCTTCAACAACTACATTTTATTTTTCTGGGGCTAAGCAGCCTCAGTTCCTTTAGCATCTCAATGTATAACTTGCCTCTCCCAGACCTTTGATCATCCTTGCTGCTGCCTTCTGCATCTTTCTCAAATTGTCAAGCTCCTGCTCTGACTAAGGGGCTCAAATGAAGTGCAACGCCTCAAACAAGGCCCTGCGAACAAGCATCACTTGGCTCTGGAACAGCGCAAGGAGGGAATCTGATTACTAAGTCTGACTGATGGCCTATCTAGCCCAGGGAGTCCTGTCTGAGAGGCAGAAACTGTGGAAATTTGGTTCCCCTTCTGCACTGAGACAAGTTTAAATTGGCAGTCTGTTGAAGGCTCACAGATGGAGGAATCCAGTATTTGCTTGGTGGTCTCGTTCTGTTTCTAGTCTTCCACACAGAAAGAGCAGGAACTCCAGTAAGCCTCCTCCTTCTCCCCCAGAATCCTACTAAGCTTGGCAGACTTTGGCAAGCAGACCTCAAACGTGCATTAAACATCAAATGAGGCCTGCCCTCTACTCCAAATGGCTACATTTGCAATCAAAGCATTACTCTGGGAAATGAGAATTTTTAAACCACCTCCTTCCCTGCAGTGCTCCATCAAGAGCAATTTAGAAAATATAAAACAGTAGATTAATTGGAGCCACTCAACAAGCCCCAGAATTTGAAACCCACCAACTTAAGGAGGATCCATTTAGTGAATTCCCACGTCCAAATCTGGAGAAACCCCTATTTTCAGACATAGCTTAATCTTTTGAACTGCCTTCTTTCAGTTATATGGACCAGAAATATTAAGAAGGTTCAGGATCTGTAATTCTGAGCCTGACACCAAATACGGTACTGAGCTTGCCTAGAATTCTGCACAGATATGCACAAACACAGTGAAAGGGGAGTTGGGCAAACACAATGCCTGTGGCTGGGGGGGGGGCAACTTCTGAAATAAAGGTGAAATCGACTCTCCTCCACACAAGTTTTTCCTTGGCAGAATCTCTGATTGCCTTATCTATGGAAATGGAAACTGGGAGCTTGGGATAACCTTAAAATGGATGTGCTTATTTCATGGGCTAGAATTGATGTTAAAAGAAGGGTCATACAAATAACCAAAAATGGGGTTAGTAAGAAAGGTATCAGCACAAAATGAATGCAAAGAAAAAAGGTTTTGAATATTTCTTCTGCTTATGCCTGTGGAGTTCCCTCCCATCTGGTCCCCCAAAGCAAAACCTTCTCATCCTAATGGATTTTTATTAGGTTGTCAGGAGGAAATAGATTGCTAATAAATTACTTTGGTGACAACTATGCCTGGGCCCTCCCCACCCAAAAGTTCTCCTCTGCCATTCCTCCTACTCTTTATAGTTACTGCTTGATGTCCTTGTCTTATCAAGACGGCCCATTCTATTTGAGGTCATGGCGGAGGGGGGGACATGGGCCATACCATCTTGGCAGTCACTTCTGAATGGCTAGTCCTTTGTCCTTAGGGCAGCCGAAAATGGCCAGAAAAGTTGAGACTCCTTGAGTCGTTTTACATAAATCTGGCAGTGGCCTGATGGTAACAGAAGGCTCTACCACCTTCCAATCTTATTTCTCCCCAAACTTGATTAGGATACATGCTACCTCACACTAGAGAAAAGTTCTAAATAACACTGGAAGCAAAGCTTTTTGTAGCACGTTCAATCCTCGCTGATTCCTGAATTATTGCCATTCTACGCTCCCTCCTCTCACACCTACTTATCAGTCATACTGCAGTTTTCCAGACATTTAATTTAAAATTTCACTCCTTGAGAAAGTGCAACAATGGTGGCTAATCACATCCTGTTGCAGTGGATTCTACCAATCAACGATAGCACACATTTCTCTAAAAACTTGGCTCTTTCCTAGTTTTGTCTGGTGTTACATTTGGCAGCTGAAGTCAGATTTCAGGTGGGGTTATTTCAAGATCTTGGGCTCTGAAGACAAATTTCCATTCCTTCGACCACTCTTAGGTATAGATAGTCCTCAACTTACAACCGTTTATTTAGTGACTCTTCAATGTTACAAGAGCACTGAAAAAAGTGACTCTCACTTTTGAATGTTGCAGCATCTCCACAGTCATTTAACTAAACCTCGGCTCCATGTATTTACGACCGTTGCAGCATCCCGGGGACATGTAATTGCCATTCGCGACCTTCCTAGCCAGCTTCTGACAAGCAAAGTCAATGGGAGCGGCTGGATTCACTTCGTGATTGTATGATTCACTTAATAACTGCTGTGATTTGCTTAACAACTGTGGCAAAAAGATCATAAGACTGGGTAAGCCTACTTACCAACTGCCTTGCTTAGCAACAGAATTATGGTCCCAATTGTGGTGTAAGTGCGTATGGTGATTTTGTGCTTCTTTTGTATGGGAAGAAGCACAAGAAATGTCTGCAAGAGCAGCAGCCCATTCAGTTTCCCACACAACATGGCACAACTACCCCTTTGCAAGCAAGGGACGGGGAAGTCACACAATCACGTCCACCTCTTCCGTTTCTGCCCCTGCTGTGTGCACAGAGAAGCCCTGCACAGTTGGCTTAAGATAGTAGATGGAAATGATCTGTCTATTGCATCAGACTTTTTTTTCTTCTATTGGCTTTGTTTTGCTCAGTTGAAGCACTGTGCCCTTTCAGTCAACTGAAGAGCATCCCAATCCTGTTTGCTATCATTTTCTATAATCGCTCTCTTAACATGGAGAGCATCAGTGCACTGGTGGATATGGGGTGCAGGTGTTGTGAGAAGAGACCCTTTCGGATATGACTCAGGTGGGATGCGTGAAGTGCAGGACTGCGATTGTTTCATTGACTTATTTACGTCCATCTCAGCACCCAGATGGATGAGTCTGCACGCCTCTGCCTAAGAGGTGGTGTTTTTTTGCTGAGGATTGCTATCTCCATAATGAGGGGAGCCCATGATTGCAAATTTTTATATATGCGATGGAGAAAAGGAAGAAATAAAAGTAAGCACAAGAAGAGCAAAGAAAGTGAGACGGGAGAAGAGGAAAATGTGCAGGAAAAAATATCACAGTTTTCTGTTTGAACAAAGTCACAGTTTTGTCTCCTACCATCCTTTCCCACCGCAAGATCCAAACAGTCGTGTGGAGGAGGCCCTCCACCACCCACCTCCTGCCCTGGAGCCTGAGATGGCACTGGCTGCTCCAGCTGCCAATCTGTGGGAGGACAGGGACTTGCCCCCACCTGCTGGGACCCTCACTCGGCTCTTGTTCAAAGAGGAGCAGTCCTGCTGTTGCAGTAGCCCATTGCCACCGATCAGAGGACCCCACCCCACCGAAGTGCCACAGAGTGGCAGGAAAGCCCTTTTTCTGGATATAAAAGGTCTGTTATGGAAACGCAGGTGGGAACAGCTCCCCTGTACCCCCACCCCTCACTGCAAATTGGCTGGTGCAAGGGATTGGGTGTTTTGTTAGGGGGGCTATTCTGGTGGCACTTGGGGTAGCAGTAGCAGAGTGTTGCCCCTCTCTGAGATGTCGTCTCTGTTCTCCCTTCTGATTTTTTTTTTGTTTTTTTAAATGAGAATATTAGTGGTTCCAGTCCCCACTGTGGTTTTATCTGTGATACTCTTTTGGTTGAACAATTCCCCTTCTCTGTGGCAGGGAGATATGACACTATGCCATCTCTTCTTGGTGGCATTATAGCAGCATGCCCTTAGTGGGTTCATTGGTGGCCCTGATCTGCACCCCCCTCTCTGTGGCCATCGTCGTGGTATTGCCTTTGTTCCTTGAGTTGGGTCACGGTGCCATCTCCACCTTCTGAGTCTCAACCACAATTCAGTCTTTTTTCTGTTATTTCATCTTAAATGTCTTTCTCTACCCCTCTCCCATGCCCGCCCCACCTGGCGCTGGTCATACCTCGGACTCCAGGCTGGAGAAATGGGCCGAACCGCGCCTGGCAAAAAGCTCCCCGCTTCGACTCACCCGGCGTGGCAGCCACTCCGGGGAGAAGCCACCCTGGTGTCGATGGGAAGCCCCACAGCGCATCATGTGGCAGGAGCTGAGGTCCTCCAGACTACGGGAGGTCGGGTGAAGGACTCCACCGCCTGGCCCCAGCTCACAGGAATGGTGGTGGCAGCGTCGGTGGAAGCCGTGGCGACGCCGAGGAACTAGGCAACTGTAGTGGCTACAGTGTCGATGCTCCCAGTCCAGCCGGCGTTCCAAATGCTCTTCCGAGCAGCTCAAATAATGCAAGGCTTCCTTGCGGCACGGCGGAGTGGGTGGTGGGAGCATTTCTAGGCTCAGGCAGTGCTGGCAAGGACCGTGACACCCGTGGCATTTGGCCAACTTGTCGGCCGACCAGTAGTGTAGAGGCTTGTGTGTGGCAAAGAGCTGCCTCTCTCGGGAGGGGTAGGTGCAGAAATAATCTGGCGACTGGTACCAGCAGCTGTGACCATCACTATCCCTCTCACAGATGTCGGAATCAGAGTCTGAAAAGTCCACATAATGACTTTGGCTGTGCAAACTGGCACCAACGGCAAGTGGGTGAGAATGACTGCGGCAGATATGAGCCCGGGAGCTCCTCTCGCGGCTTGACGTGTTTGGGCATTTTGCTTCTGGCTCAGCTCGTGGCAGAGATGCTTCCTCAGCATGTCGGTAACGGGGGACCGGCGGGGAACGTTCATCTTCGTAGGAGAGCCGGGTGTAGCCATACCGGCTTCGCTCTTTCCCGAAAGACCGGGAGGTGCCTCTCTCCAACTCACAAGGGCTTTTAGTAGGATAACTGCTTGTAGGACCATCATATTTTTTCACCTCGGAAGCTCGGCCAGCCCCTTTCCCTGCTTGGAAACTTTCATACAAACCCCGGAGAGATTTGCGTTGCCAACCTGATGCCACCGGTGGCATGTCTGGAGAATCTTTTTCCCGCACTATAGCGAAGTAGGACGGAGGGTTTTCCAGCCCACGGGAAGACTGTGGGGGAGAGAGTTGACAGGGTGCCATTTTTTTGCTACTGACATGATCTGAAAGCCCTTCAGGTTCGATGGGGCCATAGAATCGGTGGAAGCCATCCGAGAAAGGACTCTTGAGGCTGTGGCGTGGTGGTTTAGTGGTAGGGAGTTCTGCAGGTGTAGGGGGGTACAAATCCTTGTAACAGTTGGGGCTACGGGCATGACGCCACCGCTCCACAATGCGCCGTTCACGAGGCAGGAAGCTGGACCAGGGGAGCGGAGGCCCAGGAGGACTGGGCAGAGCTGGGGCTGCACCTCGTGATGGTCCGTAGGTGTGATTCAGAATGGGCAACTGCTGCTGGTCTGGTATTTTGGGGTCTTCACTGCTACAACAACTATACATGCCCTGGAAGAAATGGGAGAAGTAGATATAGATATAGATATATATAAGAAGGTTCTTCAACCATAACTATGTTTTTTACGTCTAGCAAGCAGGCAAAACTATAATGTAGAAAAAGCACTGGAAATTTTGCAAACAAGAGAATGCTCCCTAAAATGATGCCTGGGCAGGTAGGACAATAACATACAGGTGTCCTCAATTTATGACTGTAGTTAAGCTCAGAATTAGTCATAAATCATAGTGGTTGCTAAAGCAGGTCACCACCTGATGACCCCTGATTTTATAACCATTTTTCTGGCAGTCGTTAAGCAAACCCATTGTACCAATAGGCACTTTTTGTGGAAAACTGGAAATAAACACCAGTTTCCGGCAAAAAAAGTTGTAAAATTCAGTCACATGACTGTGAGATGTTACAAACAGTCCTAAATGTGGGCCAGTCCTAAGCACCCAAAATGTAATCACATGACCATGGGGGTGGAAGTCTGTCACAACTTTGAACAGTCACTAAGTAACCATTGGAAGGGACCATGGAGGTCTTCTAGTCCAACCCTCTGCTTAAGCAGGAAACACTATGCCATTTCAGACAAATGGTTCTCCAAGCTCTTCTTAAGTCAAGAACTATCTATATTAGTTCTGTATTAAGAAAATTCTAAGTTAAGTTCTCAGCATAATCTTTGAATAGCTTGGGAAAACGCCTACCTTTACAGAGATTGCCCAGATAAGGGAAACAATAGCCAAGCTGGCTAAGCTGGAGATCTCACTCAAGTTAAAATACCTTTTTATCTACCTGCAATAACTCCTGACATACAACCATAATAATAACAATATAATAAATCACTGCTCCCCGGTTTTACACAATTATCTTTTTCTAAGTGCAACTTGAGAATTTCAGTGAAATACAGATGACTCCTCTCGCTTCTTCCCCATATGTCCATTTCCTATGTCACCTCTGCCACCCAACAGCTTTACTCTGAATACAATAACCCAGCATCAAATTCCTCAGCCAATTTGTCTTTTTTGAGTCTCTTTATATTAAATCCCCAGTTTGACAAGTGTCATCCTAACGAACCCTTGCATAACATACCTATTCAAGATGTACCAAGGCAGCGCTATGAATTCCAGAAGAACTGGAATTCTTTACTTTGGTCAGCCCTATAAATTAGATCAGATTAAGAAACAGACATTCTGTAGGCCTAGATCTATTTTCACTAGAATAGCTATAGTAACAGGATCTTGTAAATTGGAATGTGCTTGCACTCCTCCCTCTTTTATCTTCATGTGAATTTGCAGCATTTTTAAAGTACAGGTAGTCTTCAACTTACAACAGTTCATTTAGTGACCATTCAAAGTTACAACAGCACTAAAAATGTGACTTATGATTGGTTTTCAGAGTTATGGTTCTTGCCGCACCCCCACAGTCATGTGATAACAATTTGTCCACTTGGTAATTGGCTCGTATTTATAATGGTTGCTGTGTCCCAGAGTCATGTGATCACCTTTTGTGACTTTCTGACCAACAAAGTCAATGGGGAAACCAGATGCACTTAACAAACTTGTCATTAACGTAACAGTTGCAGTGATTCACTTAACAACTGTGCTAAAAAAAGATTGTAAAATAGGGCAAAATTTACTTAACAAATTTCTCGTTTAGCAACAGAATTTTTGGGTTCAATTGTGGTCATAAGTTGAGGACTATTTGTATCTTTCTTGGTATAGGTCAGTGGTGGCGAACCTTTTAGAGACCGAGTGCCCAAACTGCAACCCAAAACCCACTTATGCATCGCCGGGTGCTGGGTGGGCATGGCCACCGAGTGGGTGTGGCCACTGAGCTGTCGGCTTGTGCTTGCTCACTTGCTCGCTGTCCGCTCCGACTCGTGCTCGCTCTCAAGCTGTCTGCAGCAAATGCTGCTTCCACAGAAAGTTGCTCCTTTTATAGCCTCTCGCCTATTCCCAGACTGTGCATGCACGGAGAGGAGGAGGGAGTAGCTCGGCCCAGCAATGGCTCATGTGCCACCAGAGACGGCTCCGCATGCCGCCTGTGGCACACATGCCATAGGTTTGCCACCATGGGTATAGGTAGTCCTTTGACTTGCAATCAATCACTTAGCAACTGTTCAAAGGACCAACAGACCTCCCCAGGGTACTTACAATTCAGCTCTGAAGCTCTGATGACTTATAACCCCCCTGGTCACGTGACCACATTTTGGATGCTTGGCAACTGGCCCACATGCAGTGATGGGATTCAAATATGTGAACAACCGGTTCTCTGTGTTGATGCCGCTTCTGGAAGTCCATTCTGGGCCTGGGCAACAAAAAATTAGCTACCGGTTCTGCTGAAGCGGTGTGAACCGGCTGAATCCCACCACTGCCCACATGTATGACCAGTTGCTGCATGCCAGTCATATGACCGTGTTTTACAATGTTCTTGCTGAAAACTGGAAGCAAATACCCAGCAAATAACCAGCCCATAGCAAAGAAGTGGTTCACTTAACAACCGTGGTGTTTGCTTAATGACCACTGTAAAACAAGGTCATTAAAAAAGATTGGTGGCCTGGTTTACAATCGTCATGACTTACAACTGTAATGGGAAATTTCTATTACAGTCATAAGTGAAGGACTACTCCAGCCAATTTGATTGTCAACTTGCATCTTTCTTCTGTCTATCCAGGGCATCCTCCATATTAGTGTTTCTCAACCTTGGCAAGTTTAAGATGGGTGGACTTCAACTCCCAGAATTCCCCAGCCAGCTCTGTATACGGTGACCTCTCAACTTTTCATCTTCTCTCTTACTCGGTTAGGGGAACACCATGTGAATCCTTCCACCCTGAACCTAAGAAAGATAATTTCTTTCTTAGACAATATTCACCACTATTGCAAAGATAATTCCCCCTTACAAATAGCCTCCTGCTACTGATAGACATCATCCTGCCATGTTGTTGAATTTGCCTTTCAGTGTAGACAACTGGTTGCAGAGCAAGAACACCAGGCTAATAAATGGAGAAGAGCAGAGAGGAAGAAGAGCAGAAGGGATGGGTACGGGATGGAAGAAATCCAATTAGATACTTAGGATTACAAGAGATCAGGGGAGCAAGCAGAGAAATCAAATGTTAGATTGGATTTCTGCCTCTTGGATGAATTGGATTCTCTCCCACCATTTTTAAACTTAATTTCAGTACAAGACAACAGCAATTTTCATTGGTTTTTATAAAGTGATTGACACGTGCAAATAAAAACTACAGGTAGCCCTTGACTTGTAACTACAGCTGGAAGTGGAAGTAAGTCACGTCTGATTTTACAACTGCGATCATTAAGTGGCTCCAGCTTCCCCCATTGTCTTTGCTTTTTGGAAGCCCCTGGGAAGGTTAAAAATAGTGATCACATCACTTTGGGACTCTGCAACTGTCATAAATACATGCCAGTTGCCAAGCATCCTGCAACAGTCATAAGTGTGAAAAACGGTCATGAGCCACTTTTTTAAGTACCAGTGTAAGGTTGAACAGTCACTAAACGAATGGATGTACGGTAAGTCAAGGACTACCTGTAATTTGTTTCTTCCTCTAAAACCACATCAGAGCTTGATGCTGCCTAAGCTTCCTTTAGTGGTCTTTTTGAAAGCTCAAAACTAGGCTTTAAAATCAAATACATAGCTCCTCTTCCTTCTCCTTCTCCCCAACTTTTTAGAAATTAGTCACCAACTATCTAGATTTCTTTTTTAAAAAATTAGAGGCATGGAGTTGTAGAATGCCGACTAACATCACATTAACATTTGATTGATGCATTTATTCCTCTTCTCCCCCCCCCCACTTTTGAGAGTGAATCTGGTTTCTCTCAGTATATCACTGCATTTGATAGACGTACAAATCAGCACGTTGCCACCTCCAGTTCTTCAGGCAAGCTAGCCAGTTTTTTTCCCCCTCAAGTTGAATGAAAACATATTTATTCGACAGCATGCTCATAGTCTGCCTTGATTTAAAAAGAAGTGCATTTTTTTAAAAAATGTTGAGAAGTAGGGGGGTGTTTTTTAACATTAAAGGCGCTAACAATTGAGTTATGTTTGCAAGCTAGTTTTTGTTACAGACTACTACAGCCAGTTTTCCTTAGAAAAGAGATGCCCTTTAGTGACCAAAACAAGCCATGTAGGCTTCAAAAGTGGGGCTACCATGTTTCCCCGAAAGTAACACCTGGTCTTATATTATTTTTGCCTCCAAAAGAGGCATTAGGTCTTATTTTGGGGCAGTCTTATATTTTTCATGACACCTGCCTTGTATCGCGGCGGCGGCACCAACAGCCCCATCCAACATGGCTGCTGGCAGGAGGCCACATAACACACCATGCTGCCGCCGCCACAACGAGGAAAGGCAGGTGGGGAAGGAGTGGAGCTGCCCCACGTGCCCCACACCTGCTTCCTTTAGCCCCCCCACAGCTAAGCCATTTCTTGCTCCCTTTTCACTCCCCACCTCAGCCAGATTGCCATGCTTCCGTACAGAGGAGGAGCGGGATAGGCCTGGTCCCCTCCCGCCGTTTCAGAGCCAGGGGAAATGACAGCAAAAGGCTCTGCTGCCACTGTGCGCCCACTGGAGAGGCTTTCCTTATGCTCCACTCCACAGATCATCTGTCCGGTGACAGCCGCTGCCTCTTTCTCCTCCGCCAACTTTCCCATGGCTTGCATCATGACCGGGTAGCACAAGCCTCCCCTGCCACCTCCCTCCACCAGCCCTCCGTCGCTTGCACTGGACAGAACGGAGAACAGGGAGCAGCTTTGTGGAGCGATGCAGAGCAGAGAAGAGCACTTGCTTGCCGCCCTGCATCGCCCCACGTCTCCCTTCTCCATTCTCAAAATGGCAGCCCCATTTCCTGCCACTTCTCCTCCAGAACATAAAAACTTTCAGTACGAACCTGCTTTCCAGCTCTGGCGTGTTTCTCTCCTGCTGAAACCGAGTTCGTGGGACTAAAAAAAGTTCAGTCAGACCTTCCAACTTCTCGTGAATAAAAAAAAGATTTCAGGAGAAGTTGGAAGGTCTGACTGAACTTTTCAGCAGGAGAGAAACATGCCAGAGCTGGAAAGCAGGTTAGTGTTGAAATGCAGGGCAGCAAACAAGTGCTCTTCTCTGCTTTGCATTGCTGCGCAGAGCCGCTCCGCTTCCTGTTCTCCATTCTCTCCAGCGGTGGTGACAGAGGGCTGGCGGAAGAAGGCGGCAGGGAAGGCTTGTGCCACCCAGTCATGGCGCAAGCCACAGGAGAGTTGGTGGTGGTGGAGGAGGAGGAGGAGGCTGCCGCCAGGCAGGTGATCTGTGGGGTAGAGTGTGAAGAAAGCGCCTCAGCGGCGCACAATGGCAGCGGAGCTTTTTGTCGTCACTCCTGCCTGGCTCCGAAATGGCGGAGGGGGACCAGGCCTACCCCACCCATCCTCTGTAGCATGGCAATCCAGCTCAGGAGGGAAGTGAAAGGGAGCAAGGAATGATCTGGCTGGAGGGGCCAGAAGGAAGCAGGTGCGGGGCGTGTGGGGCAGTTCCACCTGCCTTGCCTTGTTGTGGCAACAGCGGTGAGATTACCACGTGGCATCCTGCCCCATTGCAGCAGCCAGGTGGGACAGAGTGGGCGGGATCCTAATTAGGGCTTATTTTTAGAATACGGCTTACCGTATATGCCGGCGTACAAGGCGACCCGGCGTATAAGACGACCCCTGTCTTTGGCGCCGAGTCGCATTCCTAGAACGTCGTCTTATATGCCGGAAACTAACAGTATTTCTGGCGTATAAGACGACTCGGCGTATAAGACGACCCCCCCGTCTTTGGCGCCGATTTTAACGCTTGCGGAAGTCGCCTTATACGCCAGCATATATGGTATATTAGGCCCACTCCCACACACGGTATTACTCAATCTATGTTTATCTTTAGACATGCCCAGATAAAGAGATGGGATTGAGGAAAATAGAAGCAGGAATGCATGGCCTAAAAACAGCTGATTCCTATCTCAAGTAGGCTAGCTTCCATGTTCTGAACAAATGATGTACAACAAGCAAACCTGTGTAAGTTGATTTCCTTTGCATAATTTAATTTTAGATAATGTCAGACCTAACAGTCATACTTGCAATCTTGACGAGCTCCTTGCTCTTGTTTATGAATTTCCATATTTCATTGCCTATATACACACATATCCTCCAAGCCTCCAGAAACATGTTTTTTTTTAAACCATAAAATTCTAAAAAGTTCTGTTTCCATTACTCCTTGGAATATTTGAGCAATGCAATCATTAAAATCCTGCAGCTCTAGATAAAAGGAGAGAATTAAGAGAAACTGTGAAGAAGTCTGCAGAAGGAAGCAAACAGCTGTGGGGTGTACATGGAAACTGCAGCCTCTTTTACAAACTCACCCTGCTGAAGGCCAGTAGGAAGTCCAGCCGGCCCGTGTGTCTCATGCAGTGGCGCAGTTTCCAATAGATGAGATGTTCCCAGGCAAAGACGAGCAGGCTCAGCCCCATGGCTACCAAAAGCATGTAGAAGACTCCTGCCATGTTGTCAATATCCAGTTTACTACTCATCACCTCAATTTTGTCGTTGTGGCAAATCCCTGAAAGCCACAGGCGCTCCAGGAGCTCAATCTCATCTGAAACAAAGAAGGGCAGTGGTAGAAAATATTGCTGTCGGCTCTTTAAGGTGGTCCAGAGAAGAATCAACACCTGTAAGGACTAATACTTCCTTTATTGTAAAGCAGGGCTCTTCAAACTTGGCCCTTTTATGACTTGTGGATTTCAACTCCCAGAATTCCTCAGCCAGTGTGCCTGGCTGAGGAATTCTGGGAGTTGAAGTCCACAAGTCATAAAAGGGCCAAGTCTGAAGACCTCTGTTGTAAAATTACAGCAAGAGACTCTTTCAAGTCTGAAAGTATCTCTCCCCTCCTGTACTTTTCCTCTGCTGAAAACTAGGGAAGATCCCTTCTGAGACACTTTCTCCATTCTCCTCATTCAGAGTCTGATTTTTGTTTATCAGACTGGCTGTTGTCTAGTCTGCAGCTCTCCCTCTTGTTTCTCAAAGTCATTGTCACATACCATTATGATAGGACTGCGCAGATGTCCTTCTCCCCTGTCCTTTCCTTCCTGCCATAAAATGCAAATCCTCTTGTTCTGGACAGAAATTGATTGCCAAGGCCTCAAATGACCAAGCAGCGCTGACCGTCTCGTACAGCCTTTCTTAAGCTGTTGTCCTTTGGTTGCATTAGCAGTATAGGCAGTCCTTGACTTACAACCACAATTGAGCCCAAAATTTCTGTTGTTAAGTGCAACATTTGTTAAGTGAGTTTTGCCCCGTTTTATGATCTTTCTTGACACAGTTGTTACGTGAATCATTCCAGTTGATAAGTTAGTAACCCGGTTGTCAAGGGAATCTGGCGTCCCCATTGACTTTGCTTGTCAAAAGATCGCAAAAGGTGATCCCATGACCTTGGGACACAGCAACAGTCTAAGTATGAACAAGCTGCCAAGCATCTGACTTTTGATAACATGATTGTGGGGATGCTACAAAGGGTGTAACTGTGAAAAATGTATATGAGTCACTTTTTTCAGTGCCATTGCAACTTTGAACAGTCACTGGAAGTTTTTAAGAAGAGACTGGACAGCCATTTGTCTGAAATGGTATAGGGTTTCCTGCCTGAGCAGGGGGTTGGACTAGATGACCTCCAAGGTCCCTTCCAACTTTACTACTACTACTACTACTACTATTACTACGTGAACTGTTGTAAGTTGAGGACTGCCTGTATGCAGGAGGGCTAGAGAAATCTGCCAGTGGCATTCACAAACACAACGGGGAAAAGCTGATTCAGGACCAGAGCAATATTGGAAGGCTCTTCCACAGTGCCTCATTTTCACTCCTCAAACTTTCATCTACCCTTCTTAACACTGGCCAGTAATTCTCCTCTCAACCTCAGCAGCAAACAGCATCATATGAGCAAACCTCAATTGACCAATGGCTGAATAGAAAAACTGGCATCCGATCAGGGCTACGCTTCCCATCAGAACTTAAAGATTCTGCCTATTTATTTAATGTCTCCTAAATCAGGGGTCCCCAACCTCCGGTCCGTGGACTGGTACCGGTCCGCACAAACAAAGTCCCATCTGTGGGATGCAGGCAGCACACAAAACCACGCACTCTCCAGTCTGTGGAAAAACCTTTCTGCACGGAACCGGTTCCTGGTGCCCAAAAGGTTAGGGATCATGATTCTAGATAACCAGAGTAACTGTGGCAAAGACCAGCAAAGGACTACCATGATACTTCATGATGCAGCCCTGGAATGTTGCCAGGGCTGTTGGGGATTTGGAACGAAGTGAGACTTCCCACCCAGGGGAAACTTGAAGCTTAGACATGCTGCAAAACTGAAGCGGCAGAGGCAGAAGTTGTTTGTCTCTGCTGTTAACAAAGAAGTTGGTGTGTGACCAGAGAAGTTACAGGTAGTCCTCGACACACAACAATTGAGTCCAACTTTCCATGGTTAAGCAAGATAGTTGTTAAGTGAATTTTGTTCCTTTTTATGACCTTTCTTGCCACCGTTGTTAAGGGAATCACTGCAGTCGTTAGGTTAGAAGCACGGTTGTTAAGTGAATCTGGCTTCCCCATTGACTTTGCTTGTCAGAAGGTCACAAAAGGAGATCACGTGAACCCAGGATGCTGCAACCGTCATAAATACCTCCCAGTTGTCAAGCATCCAAATTTTGTTCACGTGACCACAGGAATGCTGCAATGGTCGTTAAGTGTGAAAAATGGTCATAAATCACTTATTTCAGTGCCATTGTGGCTTTGAACAGCCACTAAGGGAATGGTTGTAAGTCAAGGACTAACTGGCTGGCATATCTGGGAATGGTGCAAAGGCCAAGAGTGGAAGGATAGAGGAAGCCACTAAGGGGCCTTTTTCCGTAAACAATTGTTTTAAAAATAGATTTTCATCAGCTATAATGAATTTGAGTCTGCAGCACTGAAAAATGCAAGTATCATGAATGTTTGAAAAGTGATGATAAAAACTTAGTTTGCATTTTTAAACTGGAATAGAACTGACTTTTGCTAGCTGAAGCTGAAGCAGACAGCACAACACAATGCCTTGTTTTTTCTCCCTTAATTTTCAGTGCATGAACAGTGCATTTGCTGCTTGCTGCAGGAATATCCATTTGCTTCTATTACACTCCACTTGTAAATCAAATTGATATTACCAGTAATATTTCATTTGAAAGAAACTAAGCATAGATTTCTCAGTACAGAAGAAAAATGCAATCTTATATTTGACAATTTTTACTGTAAGTGTAAATGAATAATTAGTGTGTGTTAAAACTCATCAGTGCTAACTAAAGCTTACAAAACAGAAGATGCTATCAAAAAACATGAAAACAGAAGATCAAATAGAACTGATGGAAAAAACTGATTTTAATATTGAGAAAAAGTAAAATACCTAGGGTATTACTGTGACAAATGTGAACTGTATGTTATTTCAAAATAAATTATGTTCAGACATGGTATGAAATTAAGAAAGACACGCTAAGATGGGGAAAATTAAAATTGTCACTTTGTGGGAGAATTTCTGTGATAAACATCAATGTTTTGCCTAGAATGTTTTTGTTTCAGACAATACCTGTTTTGTCAACTGATATACTATTCAGGTAAAGGCAAAAATATATATCTAGATTTGTATGCAGGAGGAAAAACACAATTTAAATACAGAGTGCTAACAAGATGCAAAGGAAAGAGGAGGATTGGGTTTTCCAGTTTTGAAATTATATTTTGGAGTGTTTGTTTGTTTGTTTGTTTGTATGAAAAAATGGCTATTGCTGAGAAACAAAAGACTTTTAGAATTAGTAGTACAGGACCTGACATATGGATGGCATGTATATTTATGCTACAATAAAGTTAACGTGGATTTTAAAAATCATTTCATTTGAAAAGACCATACCGAGAACATGGAATAGATATAAACCAAGGCTGTGCCCCAAAACATCTTTATGGATCTCAGCACAAGAAACATTTTACTTAAGAGAAACAACAGGCAAAGACAAATAGACAAATAGTTAATATACTATAAATTAATGGAGATTCAGCAACCCCTTTAATTTAACATGGTAGAGTAGGATATAGTTATCAGTGGTTTTCCCTTTTACAGTTATCAAAAAGATTTAAAATGGATAGACAGACTTATGGTATAAAGAAAAGGAAGACAGAATTTGAAATGCAATTGTGCACTGATGATGAACGTGTAATTGCTAAAATATATAAACTTTTCTTGAAATTTGAAATGGAAGAAAAGCAGGTTAAAGAAGTTATGTTATATACAAATGGATCAATCTATCAATATATGGTCAAAAAGGTTGAAATTTACATTGTTATGATCTCAAAGTTAATTTATATAAAAATGATGTATTATGGGTACATGACACCAGATAAATTATTTAGAAGATATAAAGGCATTTCAAATATATGGGAATGTGAACAACTTGAAGGCATATTTTATCATGCTTGGGAGATGTGTAAAAAAGCTTTTAAAAAATGGATTTCAATACATACAGAGGATTTTAGACATTCAATTGAAGCCAGAACCTTTCCTTATGAGACTGATAAAGAGTTTTTAAAAAGCCATGGAAGATTATTTCAATATATGATTACTGTGGCAATTAACATAAGCACAAAGTGAAAAGTTTCAGCATTACCCACCATGGAGGAATATCAGATGAAATTGATAGAATTTGCTGAGATGGCCAAATTGGCTTTTTTGATTAGAGAAAGGTTATTATTGACATTCATCAACCACTGGAAACCCTTTATGGATTTTTTTTTGGCATGAAAAAGAAAATGATTTTGTGACTTATGGTTTTGATGATTAAAAAGAATAATGATTAGGATGAAATCTTGGAGAGAGAGATTTGATTAGAATTGTATGTATTATTACTGCGGAGAGGAAAATTGGAAGCCATTTTTAATATCTCTTTTCATGTTTTTTCTTTTCTTTCTTTTCTTCCTCTTGCACATTTACTATACATTTTTCTTTGAATGTACTTATTATGTACATTTTTTTAAAAAAAATTGTGCACTGAAAAATAGCATTACAGCACATTTCTAGCTGAGGAGAGGAAATATTTTCTCTTATCACAGTGATGCTACTTAATCCAACTTGATGGCAGACAAGTGAAGTAGATTGTTGTTTATCAATCTGAGAACAGAGCGTGGACCATGCATAAGTCTTGAACTTAAAATTTTAGGAATTATTTTAAATATATAGCTTAGAAATTAGATGCCAGATGCCCCACAGTGGAAGCTGTTACCAATTTAGACTATATAATTTGGGAGATGGCTGCATGGAGATTTGGCTCCAAAGGGCAACATCTGATTGGGAGCCTGCAGGGGCCCACTTATAGCATCTCTCAGGAACACCTTAAAGTCATTGTACCTTTTCCTGAATTTGCCAATCTTAAGATGGAGCCAACCTTGCTTAAAGGTGCTCCTGACATGCTACATACATGCTACATTTACAGGTACTCTGAATCACATTTGGTACTTTCATTCTAGACCTCTTCACAGTTCAGTGGGGCTATATAGTTAAAAAAAAATACTTTTTTCCAGTGACACTAACTTGAGAGTATGCACTTAGCATAATGCATAATATTCTCCCTTTTAAGCACTGATATATTTCAAAAAGTCAATCTCAGCATTTATTTCCACCTCCCAATTCATCATTTGCTTCTAACCCAGGCATTCCACTTTAATTCTGGTGTGTCTCCTTAGAACAGGGGTGTCAAACTCACAACGTCACATGACGTGTCGTGAAGTATCGTGACTTTTTTCCTCCATTGCTGGCAATGGGATGGGCACAGTTTCAGCACGATGCATCCGGCCCACGAGCCGGCAGTTTGACACCCCTGGCCTTAGAACTTGGACCTGATCCATGAAATCTTACCATCGCTGAGAAACTGAAGTAGGGCCAGGTCAATGGGCCGTTTCCATTTGGATCCTTTTTGCAGGGCAATGCCATAGCCTGTCGTGGCAAAGACCTTCCCACTTCCAATGGTGACAAGTTTGCAACCTTCTTCCTTGCGGGCCATGTAGTTGAGGACAGCTGCATCATAAATGAAGGCGTCCAGTTTCCTGCAGGTGGGGGAAAAAGGCAGGCTGAGATGAGTTGAGGGGAACACATAAAAGGTGCACCTCAGGGAAGATGGGCTGTAAGGATCTGCGCATTTGATGTCTTTCTTTTGAAACCAATCTAAGTATTTGTTCCAAATAAACCGGACACCTATTTTTTCAATAGAAGATAATATTTGTAACTCAGGATTGAACTGTGCTCCCCTTGACACTCTCAGAACTTGGTTATTTCCTTGCAGATGATTCATTACTCATCTAGGTAACATCATCAGTGCTAGCTCTGATGATGCACCTAGTACTGATAATGTTACCTAGTTGGGTAATGAAACATCTGCAAAACAACAACAACAACAAAAACCAACCAGGCTCAGAGAGCACCAAGAACCCTATACACATTTTTTGAATCTTGAAGGAATATAGAGTTTTCTTGGAGTCTAATCCATAAAGCTTAAAAGTAAGTTGGTTTGATAGATGCACAGAAAGTTGCAGAGCTGTTTTCCTGAGAGGCAAAATGTGGCTAGTTTAGATTAGCTAACTGGGATGAAAGCCACGTCTGGAGATGGCCAGAAGGAAGAAGCTAGCAAATAACCTGTGGGACTGGTCTGGTAGCCTAGCCGAGTATATCTTAAACCTCAATCTATATTAATAAACAGCATAACATAAATATTATTTTATTTATTTATATTCCATTTTTATTATTTTTTATAAATAACTCAAGGTGGCAAACCTATCCACCACACTTTTCTCCTCCTATTTTTCCCACAACAAGGGTGTGAGGTGGGTTCAGCTGAGAGTGAATAACTGGCCCAAGGTCACCTAACTGTTTCATGTTTAAGGCCAGTGATGGCAAACCTTTTAGAAACTGAATGCCCAAAAACTGGCCCCGTCCCTGCTCCACCTCCTGCCCCATCCCCGCTCTGCCCCCCCATCCCCGCCCACCTACCCACAGGACCACTCACTGCCTCCAGAGCCCATCGCAGATTGCCCAGGAAACCCAGCAGCACTATAGCAGCCACACCCTCTGCCCGCATCCTTGCAGCATCAACTGCATGTTGGGGTGTGAGGGCAGAGTCTTGTCTATGCTGCCTGGCTGCCATGTCCTTGGCTTCACTGCTCCATGTGGCCATGCTCGGGGGCGACTCTCCCTCAGGGGGGCTGCTGGAGAGGAGGGGGTCGCGGGGGGAGGCAAGGCTGGGGCAACGGCATGTGTGCCCACAAAGAGGGCTCCGAGTGCCGCCTCTGGCAGCCGGGCCATAGGTTCGCCACCACTGTTTAAGGCTGAACTAGAACTCAAGGTCTCCCACTTTCTAGCCTGGTGCCTTAACCACTAAACTGGCTCTTTATGACTGATTAATATCCCTAAAACAGTAAAAAAAAATAGGCAGAATACAATTCATGGGAATACAATTCATGAGCCAGTAAGAAAAAAAGTTATTTATTGTTAGAATAAATCTGTCCTCCATCTTGTTCTTCATTGCTCCCTCAATTTGATCCATTCACTAATGTATATATAACCCTTCATCTTTTCATCCATCTCCTCTTAAGTACGTTAGTTGTACAATAATGCCACTTCTAGTTCCTAATATGCATAATAGCCTGATGGTCTTATTTCGGTGAATTTATATGCGTAATAGCCGTATATTCTTATTATAGTGAACTCATTACAGGCTGGGGAGATGTCTACTGTTTTGCTTCCTTATCTAAAGAGACCTTCCTTAGCCATTTTAAGATATGTGGACTTCAATTCCCAGAATACCCCAGCCAGAAATGAGAAGAGTGGGGTATTCTGGGAGTTGAAGTCCACATATCTTAAAATTACTAAGGTTAGAAAACAGTTCTTCAATAATTTTGCACATCACAGCAACAAAATAATGCCTGGAACCAGCTCCGGATTTGAAATTGGGATGGGGGTAGAAATACTAGTGGGCTGCAAACAAAATCAAAAGAAGTCTGCAGGAGTTTAAACAGCAAAACAAATAATATAATATAACAAATTCCCTTCCGGATAAAATTCACTTTTAACTAAACTAGTGAGACTAATGTATGTGTGTGAGTGTTTATAATTTTCTGCAGAATCATGGGGTAGCTGTTAATCTATCTTAATTAGCAGCATATATGAATGTGATCTTGGTATATAGGATTAAATAGTAAATCATATATTTATAATAACCCAGCCAGTTGGCTTTTTAAATTGATAGCAGGCTTGACAGCTGTTCCAACAGCAATGAAGACCCTACCCATATGTCTGCTCAAAGGAGGCTGAGCTATAATCCCTCCTGTATTATGGAAAATTATATTTAAGTCGCAAAACATTCACAAATGAAAAATTCAGATATAACCCACCCCCATAGCAGTTTTACTAAAAAGCCTAATGCTGCATAATTCTTTTAGCACTGGGTCCCACATGGGGTGGGACTCGTTTTATTTAATTTCTTTCCAAAAGAAATCAGCAAGAATTCATAGACATTCATAGAAAGCGCGGTTGTGACAAACAGTGGGAAGCCTGTTTAGTAGTAGACACAGTTGGACTAACATGCATTCATGACAAGATGCCAGGAAGCCACACCCAGCCTTGGCAGATTTATTTATTTCTTTAAACATAAATACAGACTTACTCTCAGGTAAGTACTGTATTCAGAAGATTTGCAGATACACTGATTGAACTGAAAGGATTCAGAATATTGTGATTGTCCCAAAGCAATCGTTTACCACTGATAAAAATGGTAAGAGCCAGTCTAGTATATTGGTTAAGGTGCTGGCCTAGAAATTAGGAGATTATAAATTCTAGTCCTGCTTTAGGCATGAAAGACAGCTGGGTGATTTCGGGCCAATAACCAGGAGACTGTGAGTTCTAGTCCCGCCGGCTGGGTGACTTTGAGCCAGTCCCTCTCTGCCAGACCAACTTACCCCACAGAGTTATTTTTGTGGGGGAAATTGGAGGAGGAGGAAGTACCATAAATGTTCACCACCTTGAGTTACTTATAAAGCAATAAAGGCAAAATAAAAATTAAATAAATAAATAAGCCCACAGGGTTTGACATTTTTTAGTTTTTAAGTAATACAAGTCCTTGAAGAGACTGTCCTTTCGCATGGGAGAAACACGTCTAAGAAGTTGTTTTCTCTATCCCAGTTGTGCCTGCTCTGAAAATTATATATATATATAATTTGCCTTTATATATATATATATTTGCCTTTATATATATATATATTTGCCTATATATATATATATATATATATATATATATATATATATATATATTTGCCTTTATATATATATATATTTGCCTTTAGAGCTCCTTTTTCACATGAATCTTTCAACCGACTCACTGATTAATTGACCAAAACTCATGTTATTGACTTGACTACGATTTATTTAATAAAAACTAATTAACAAACTTGTGTTACAAGGTCACAAACTAATATGGCTGTGAGAGTCAGCCATGTCACCAGCCACATCCAACAGCCACCCATGACACTTGCTTAATCAAATGTCACACTGTAATCACCACAGCAATTAATATCCCTTTGCAGCTGTGAGTTGCAAAAGCAGGGTGAAACATGGCCCCTTTTTCAGGGTGTATGACTGCAGTCCAAGCATAGCCAATCAATGGAGTGCATGTGAGATACATCTAAAACTTGCTGGAATGTGTTTGCCGGTAAGATCTTCAGATGTTACACCTGTAGGAGAAGAGCAGGTAGAGTCTGGAGGTGGAGTCAAGTGAGTAATTAACCTGGAATCCTTAAGTTCCTACAAAGGTCTAAGACCATGAATTCCATTAACTTTTATCTAGTGCCAATTTAGTGCCGGCCGATAGCTGACTAGATGCTTATGAATTTTCTTAATTGGAACTTAATGTCTGGTCCTGATTCTTTGTACCTGACAACACCAGCTGGAATGTGAGTGACCACAGACCATATACTCTAGATCATAGGAGACAGTATTAAAATCGGGGTGGCTAAATGAAGACAAGGGGGAGAAAACAACAACAATCTTGTCTTCCCTACCCCAGTTCTCCCAATGTTATACCCATCTTTTCTGCCATTCCCCCTTTACTTACCCTGTCTGCAGATTCTGAAGTGCATCTTCCACACTGCGCTGGTTGTATTTCCCCATATATTCGTGCATTTCTCCATAGTTGTTCCGAATATTTTTTTCGGTGCTACCATTAGGAACTGTGCCAAATCTCAAAGGAGGATAATGGTGCTGGGGTCTCTGGAACTGAGGAGAGTAGACAAATGAAACAGGCATTGCCAGCCCATCCTTAGAAATGGAAACACTCTCAGAAAAGAGGAGACTAATCCTATCAGAGAGGATTGGAGGCTTCTGTGTTTTGGCTGAGTGAAATACATGATGTTTGGCTAGCCCTGATCACAATAGACATCATATATAAAAACTTAGGATTTCTAGATATCAGGAGATTTCTGCTATGTCAGGGGTCATGTAAACCTAGAGCTGGCTGGCTGGTAGATGGATAATTAGGAGGAGAGCTCATTGCTGGACTGATGAAAATTTTGGGTTTTTAAAACAATTATTAATCTTAATTAGCTGGCTTTCCAGCCAACAAGCCCAGCATTTTAATTGCTGAGCCACTGCGCAGTGTGTGTGTTTGTGTGTGTGTGTGTGTGTGTTTATTTTGTATGTGTGCATATGTGGCCTTGAAACAGAGATGAGCAACGCCTCTTAGAGGTGGACACAACTAACACAATAAAAATTCACAGGGATTCCTTTACCTTTTTACAATATATATAAAATATACAATATATCAGTGGTGGCGAACCTATGGCATGGGTGCCAGAGGCGGCACTCGGAGCCCTTTCTGTGGGCACACGTGCCGTTGCCCCAGCCTTGCCTCCCCCCGTGACCTCCTCCTCTCCAGCAGCCCCCCTGAAGGAGAGTCGCCCTTGAGTGTGGCCCACACAGAGCAGCGCAGCCAAGGACATGGCAGCCAGGCAATGTAGACAAGACTCTGCCCTCATGCCCCATCCCACACAGTTGATGCTGCAGAGCGCAGGCAGAGGGTGTGGCACCATAGCGCTGCTGGGCTGCCTGGGCGATCTGCGGTGGGCCCTGGAGGCAGTGAGTGGCCCTGCGGGCAGGCGGGGTGGAGGATGGAGGGCAGAGCAGGGGTGGGGCAGGAGGTGGAGTGGGGCGGGGCCTATTTTGGGGCACTCGGTCTCTAAAAGGTTCGCTATCACTGCAATATATTTTTATATATTGATCTAATTTATCTTTCTACTCTTTGTATTTTATTCTAACAAAAGGACTTTGAGGGTTAGAAAGAATGTAATTAAATAAAAGTGTCTCCTTTTATTTAATTTTTCTGGCAATCAAAGTGCTGCCAGCTATCTAGGTGAACGATGTTAGTATTTCTTGAAAGCATATCTCAGGGGCTCCTCACTTGTCACATATAAGCAGATATAACTGAACTTCAGTATCATTTTGTAATTAAAAACAGCTTTGGGAAAGAGGTTTTCAGAATCAAGGATGTGAGGCCAAATAAGCTTCTGTATGCCCTTAGCAAAAAACACAGCCGTGTACGGTATGTGCAAGCGCAAGTCACATAGTAACAGTCAGGAAGAAAGAAAAATAAACACTGTTGATTGCATTTCACTGCTCTAAATATTATTTTTTGAATCTGCCTTGTATTTCATAATGAGTCTCCACATCAGTTTCATGCAGCACAACTGGTTATTAACTCTACAGGTTGTAATCAATTACCAGGTTTACAGTCTAGGTGTTTAAAAGTTAAGAACACTTATGAAAGTGGTATCTAAAAAAGCCTAGAGAGATCCTGAATTCCAGAGATAGTTTGAGGCTACACAAAATTTAGGTAAAGCTTTTCAAGGCTGATTCTCTCTCTCTCCACATATATACATGGATATATATGCATTTAAACTCAAGATACATACATAACCATACACACATACATTTAAACTCAACATACATGCATGCATACATTTAAACTCAAGATACATGCATATATGCACACTGTACATACATAAAGATACATACATATATACTACATAGATTTAAATTCAACATACATTAAACAAGATACATGCATACATACATTTAAACATACATGCATTTAAACTCAAGATACATGCATACATATATTTAAACTCAAGATGTATGTATGCATGGATTTAAACTCAAGCTATTTATATGTATATAGATTTAAACTCTGGGGTGAACAGTTAACTTTGTCTTTTATGCAAAAGAAAAGGAGGGCAAATTATTTAGAAGGCTAAGTGCAAGCAGGAAACGGGCCAATGGGTGGAAGTGAGGCCTCCAATGGCTTTGGAAATAGATGGACACCATGAAAAAATAATTCTAGATACAAAAGGATTCAGTTGTCAGAAAATGATTGTTGACAGAGAGGTGCACAGAGATCAACAATTCGGAAATAGACCGGGACATATTTAGAAGGATCAAGGGCAGGGACAGCCTGTTTGTTCTTCAGAAAGCTGTAGGAAAAAAAACATCCTTGTCACGTTTCAAGCCTCATCAAATTGGTTGCCTGTAATAGAATGCTGTTCTGGGGGCCCTTGGACCCTTCCTCAGCATGGCACAGATCAGCAGGAAACTACCAATTTGAAACCCATCCCTAGTCAGGGACAAAAGTCAGAGTGTCAGCACACCAAAGGGATTGATTCTTCTAAATGAGGATGATGGATAAAAGCTATTCGGTGGCAAATGGCTGAGGAGCTATTAGAGTAGGTGTGGGGAACCATGGCCCTTTTATGACTTGTGGACTTCAATTCCCAGAATTCCTGAGCCAGCTTGCATTAGAGAGAAAAGAGCCTCCAGAGAAAGCTGGAAAGGAATAAGGCGATAGGCGCAGATTATCTGCAGTTTGACAGAACTGTGGATATAATCAAGGAAGGGGGGGGGAACAGAGCAAGGACCAATGGAGGTGGCTAAGAATATATAGCAGGAGAAGATAATCATCATCATCATCAGAATTCAAACAGACAAGCACCTGCAACATAACACCCCAGACTTAACAATTGTCGATAAGAAAGACAAAAAAGTCTGGATAGTGGATGTGGCAGTGCCTGGAGTCAGCAGAATAGACGAGAAAGAACTGGAGAAGATAACAAAATATAAAGACCTACAAATAGAAATAGAAAGACTGTGGCAAAAGCAAGCAAGGGTAGTACCAATAGGGATAGGCTCCTTGGGTGCAATCCCAAAACAACTGGAGCACCACTTGAACACCATTGGCATTGACAAATTTGCTGTTAGTCAATTGCAAAAGGCGGCCTTACTAGGAACTGCTTCCATCCTGCGACGATATCTGTAATACCATCAAACATCCACATCTGCCTATCCCAGGTCCTGGGTAAGGACTCGATAGATAGACAACATGCCAAATCCAGTCTGAACATCTGGCTGACTGTGCAATGATCCATAATAATAATAATAAAGTTGGAAGGGACCTTGGAGGTCATCAAGTCCAACCCGCTGCTCAGGTAGGTAACCCTATACCATTTTGGACAAATGGCTGTCCAGTTTCTTCTTAAAAACTTCCAGTGTTTCCTGCATCTGAGGATGCAGAGATGGAGAAAGGTTTGTGATTAAGAACATGAAGAGGCTTGTGATACCTTCAAGATGAACTGGCTTGTTAGGTTTTATGGACTGCACAACTTTGACAGAAAAACAAAGGCAAGGTTTCTGTTTTAACAGGCAGCAATGCTGGAGAAGTTTTATCCTTCAACAGCCACATGAGGGAGGGTCACAGACCAGCAAATAGCTGGGCTGGAGCCAAAGGGAGGGGAAAAGCAAGAATTTCCCTCCCCCCCTCTTTTATTGTCCTAGCCACCTCTGCCTTTCACCTCTGGAGAGGAGCACATTTCTCTTGATCGTACTCTGAGCAGAAGGCTTCAGGGGGCTTTGAAATGAGGCCAGAAGATGGAGACCTCAGGTTGCTCATGGCTACGAAAGAACGAAAACCGGTGCCTTTCACCACAGCAAGCTCCAGAAGAGCAATGCTGCTCTTTCAAAGTTAGCATCTCCATTTTTATCTGTTTGTTTCTAACTGCTACTGAAAGATTCCTCACTGTAGTGTTGTAAGACATTAACAGACCTCCGCTGTGGAATTTTACACCACTAAATCTGCAGTCCCAGATACGCCTGCCAAGGCAGAAAGCCACCCGCTCTGTGTGGCTTAATTCAGAGTATGAAATCTATCCAGAAATGCCCATTTCAAGTACATTTTGCAAAACTTTCCTTTCTCTACTTCCAATTACCAACTTTCCCTCCCTCCCCATCCAGTGTGACTGTGTTAAACTGAGCTGTTTAATATTTATCTGAGATTGTTTCTTGTTGGACATTAATTATGCCTATTAATTACACCCCGGCTTGTTAGCTCTTAACGAAAGAGATTCAATGGGAACGGGGCTGCCATGCCACAGCTGGTCCGATTTGCGTGGCCCCCTCCTTCCCACAGCTGTGGTTGTTCGTCAGGGGCTAATTGCCAGGCGATAATCAGCCACGTCCTGGTTTATAAATACATCCAATACATGCTGGGTACCAACAAGGCTTCTGGTGGAGGGCCCTGTGGAGCTACTAAATGTGACAGATGAGTCCAACAGCTTGTCCATCTCCTGTAACTTGTATCTCCAAAGGTATTGGAATTCAGATTCCATGCTAGAAGGAAGGATGGGAGTTGAAGTCCAAAGCATTTGAAGGCATCAGGTTGAGAAACACACTGATTTAGATAATTTACACCTTAATACACAAACATGGGGTACAAGACTCCTTCCATCCAGTCTCTCAGTCTTGCCATTTTTTTATCTTTTATGTAAATTCTTTTATTATTGTGAGCCAACTAGTTTCATTGCAATCAAGCTACATACAGATTTAATACTTATTATTATGTCCATGTAATCTCTCTCTCTCTCTCTCTCTCCCTCCCTCTCTCTCTCATATGATCATATAATATAATCATATAAAACATATAACCTCTATGTTTGAAATTAAGAGCAAATGGTCCTCACTTAAGAACCACTTGTTCAATGGCCATTCTAACTTGCATTTGAATGAGTGATACTTATAATCAGTCCTAGATGTTTCAACTGATATAACATCCCTACAATGGTCACCTAGCTGCCATTTGAAAGTCTTTGTTGGTTTCTTACAGGACGTCACAAATAGTGATCATGTGACTTCTTCACTTAATGATGGCATAGGAGTTGCTAAACAACACCAAGAAGTGTTGAAATTGCCATCGCTAGACAACATGGTCACAAAATGTGTCATTGTGCTTTATGACCGCATGACTTAGCTGGTCCCAATTGTTGTTGTTAACCGAGGACTACCTGCATTGGCTACTGAGATGCCTTTTTATGGGTCAGCTAGGAGGATTTCTATTTTAAAAAATACAAAACCATGTTGGATTTGTGGCAGATGTAGAGTTGGTAGCTCTTCTGATAGCCATGCCATCAGGGCTTGTTCTGATTCTCCAAAGGAAAGATTATCAAATTCAAGGGAAGCACATGCCGGGTGGTGCAAACTATAATACGACGAACACATTTGCTTTCTATATAGGAAGTCTGAAATTTAATTTCATCAAGGTCTTTACAAATAGTTCTCCAGCAATCATAGACTTCATAACTTTCTGGCCTTTTGCAGTGGGAAAAAAATCTTTATAGGTCCTCGCCTTCTTTTCTTATTCTGGATAATTTCATCTTCTCTTTGACTGACATTTCCTGAGCCACTCTTTAGAATACAGAGCAAGTTTTCCCTTTGCTGAGCTGGCCTGACCACAGCCAGGTACATCTTCTAAACACTATTTAAAATAACCCTTGCAAAGTCTGAATGGCTCAATCAAAGGAAGGTTATCTTGCAAGACAAGCTGCTTTGCAAGACAATTCACAGAGCTCAGATCTAAGACAATGCAAGCAGACTATGTAAAATAAATCTTGGTTTCTTCAGGAAATGCTAGATGGAAATGGAAAGTGAAGGAAAAACAAAGATGCAACCCTACTCTTAATCTTAAACTGTACCAGTAGCATACCTCTCCCTGATGTTTAAGTTAGTCAAATATCAGAGCAATGGACTTGACAAGGAGTTTTCTGTCACTAGAACCTTCATTTACATCTCAGTTTAAAAAATAGCAGAGTTATCAATCCATTTAACCTTAGTGAAGGTGAAGTTTCGTTACCTAGTGTCTTGTTTTATTTTAACGAAAGCAAAACTGTTTTAAAGATGAAAGAGAGGGGGAAAGCACAAGAAATGAGGAATGTGAAATGGAATCAGTGCAACTGTGTCTATAAATCTGTCTGGGGATGGAAGGCCAAACAGATGAGTTGGTCTGAACTTTTTTCCTCATGAACCCCATTACACATTCCCTTCTTCTCACCTTCTGGTCACTCAGCCCAGACACCGTGTCAACATACTCCTCCTGGATCATAAAGGCAGCCAGGTTGGCTGTATAGCTGGCAAGGAAGATTACAGCAAAGAATGCCCAGATCAGCACCATGATCTTGCTAGTAGTCCCTTTGGGGTTCTCCACAGGCACAGAATTATTAAATACCAATGCCCAAAGCAACCAGATTGATTTTCCAATCGTGAACTTGGAGCCTCCAGTGCCTAGAAAGCAGATGGGGGAATGGGAGGAGAAAACAACTTTCAAAAACTAGCCTGAACTGAGAAGGCTTGAAGACCAGTAAGATGCATTGCTTGACTTCCAGAGGGAGCCCAAATTTCCGCTCACTCCCTCTCTCTCTGAAGCAGTGGTATACTCACGTTTGCTGTTGCTGAGGCTGCGGTTGTAGCCCACTGGGCTGAAATATTCAAAGATAAAGACAGTCACTGCAACGACCGTCAGGCACATGACAAACATCATCACCCAAACAGCAGGGCTGTAAGGCTCTGTGGAAAGAGAAATGGGGTGGGTGCCCATCTGACACACAGACCAAAAAAAGAAAGAAAAGAACCCCTCTCTCCTTCATGAATTAAAATGCTCGTCCCACCTCTTCATTTTCCAGCCTCCAAGTCATATTACTGATACCACATTAAAAGCGGTAACAAAACATTCAAGACATAAGCTCACTAGTTAGAACAACCTCCAGAAATTGTGGGTGCTCCAACATTGGAGGTTTTTCAGAAGAGATTGGACAACGATTTGTCTGAAATGGTGTAGGGTTTCCTGCCTGAGCAGGGGGTTGGACTAGATGACCTCCAAGGTCCTTTCCAAGTTTGTTATTCTGTTATTTAATCAATCAGAATAGAGCTGGAAAGGACCTTGGAGGTCTTCTAGCCCAATCCCCTGCTCAAGCAGAAGACCCTATACCATTTCAGACAGGTGGCTGACCAGTCTCTTCTTAAAAACCTCCAGCGGTGAAGCACCCACAACTTCTGAAGGCAAGCTGTTCCACTGGTTAATTGTCCTCACTATTAGAAAGTTTCTCCTTAATTCCAGGTTGCTTCTCTCCTTGATCACTTTCCATCCATTGTTTCTTGTCTTGCCTCTAGTGCTTTCCCTGAGACTAACTAAACCCTTGTTCTGGAATGAGTGGATGATACTATGGGGAAGTTTAAGGGTCTTGCATCTGATTTCTAATGCAATGTTTTGGAATAAGAGTGACCTGCAAGCTCTTTGTCCCATCAGCATCACCATCCCCAATGCTTTTTCCTTTGCTCAAATCTCGGCCTGAGCATTCACCTAGGAAGGCAGAAGGTGAAACAGTTCCATTGCTGCGGGACACCATGACACTGATGCCTGTCTCGACGAAGGGCACAGAGAAATCTATGACTTCGGCTCTTTCTGCATTGATGGTCAGGGATCCAATTGCCATGTCAGCTCGCTTGTAAAACACCTGATGGAGAAACAGACAGGAGGAGAGAGTGGGCTGGTTTTTCTGAGGCAGGAGACAAATAAACATCCTGAGATTTGTGACCCAGGTGAAAAGATTAATACTGTCTAAAGGCATAATATAAAAAACAGGGATATATAGTTTTAAGGTGACAGGGGCAGCTTTCCCATAAGCTGTAATGAAGATTAGATGAGCAGTCACTGTCAGTGAATTGTTATAGTCCCTTTCTTCCATACAATATCCAGGAAGGCCTACAGATAGTCCTTGAATTATGACCACAATTGTGATCAGAATTTCTGTTGCTAAGCAAGATGCTTAAATGGGTCACACCCAATTTTACATCCTTTTTTTTTTGCCATGGTTATAAAGCAAATCTGTCAAGCTCGAAGCATGTTTTTGCTGGTCTGACAATTATTGCTTCTCAGCTTGCCAATGAACTTAGGGGAGGGAAAGTGATCGTAATGCAGACTTCAAAACATCAAGAAAGCAGACAGTGAGAACAAAGGACCATTCACCAGGTGTCTGGCCAGCCCCAGAGACACTTTCTCATAACAATATTTTTCCTCCCAATTGGGCAACGTGATCTGACAAAGAAGAAAGAGGGGGAATTCTATACTTTTACTACATGGGATCTGGTGGGGTTTTGCCAGAGCTGCTTTTGCTTGCATGTGTGCCGAAATGATGTACTCAATAAAGTTTTACATTAAGAGTTCGACAAGCTTCAAAGATGTTTACTTGGTTGGGTTCGTCAGTCGGAACCTTGACAAGACCACTGCAATTGTTAAGTGAATTATGTGGTTGTGAAGCAAATCCAGCTTCCCCCATTGACTTTGTTGGTTGGAAGCTGGCTGAGGAGGTTGCAAATGGCGATCATATGACTCCAGGATGTTGCAGCCACATTAAATATATGCCGGTTGCCCCATTTTTAATCATGAGACTGTGGAGAATGCTGTGATTGTTATAAGTGCAAGTAGGAATGTAAATTACCTTTTTCAGTGTCATTTTAACTTTGAATGGATGCTAAACAAATGGTTGCAACTGGAGGGCTACCATAGAGAAGAACGTAAGAGTCAAGAAGAACAAGAATAGCTAGTGTTTGGGATAAGTTGACAACAGGAATAGGAGTAACCTGCATTTCTAAGATTTTGTGCGGAAATTGAAGCCCCTAGTTCCCCAATTACCTCTCCAATCATGCCATTCCACATGCCATTGACTTTTTTTCCATGTTTGCCATTGGTGACAAGGTAGAGGTCATAGGTGAATCCCAGAGTTTTCGCCAAACGCTTCAGGATGTCAATGCAAAACCCCTTACAACATCTCTTCTTTAACTGATTGCTGTGAACAGGAAAGGGAAAAGGAACTCAGCGAGTAATTTAGGAACATCGCGGAAAGTAATTAAGAACGAGCATGGCATAGTGGTTAGGGAGGAACCCAATTCCTCAGCCAGTCATAAATTTCATTGGCTGGGATTTTGGGGAAGCTACCTGAGTAACTTTGGGCCAATCATCAGTAGACTGTGAGTTCTAATCCCACCTTAGGCATGAAAGCTGACAGGGTGACTTTGGGCCAGTCACTCTTTCTCAGTCCAACCCACCTCACAAGTTGTTGTTCTGAGGAATATAGGTGGAGGAAAGAGTATTAGTATGTTCACTGCCTAGAATTACTTATAAAAAAATAATAAAGTGGGATATAAATTAATAAATAAAACTGATAAGCAATATGGAGCTATGAAAGAGAACAATCTGTACCCCTCCAAGCTTCTTGGGAAAAAAGTAGGATCTAGCTGGAATTAAGTATATATAAGTCCCATGAGGCCCTCTGATATTTTTCAGGAAGAACAGGATTCAAGTTTAAGAATAATCTGCCATGCTTATAAGAACCCTCCTCAAGCATATTAAAAATACCTGTCAGTATGGTTGAGAGGGTGATGGCAGGGCACCGAGTCACGGATACAAGTCTTGGTGGCAGGATCAATGTCATCCACAATTACAAAGGGCCTCTCCTCCAAAGTTGCCACCATCAAGTGCTTGTTGTCATCCACGGGTTGTAGGAATTTCCTATAGCGTGACATACTCAGGATCCGTCGCTCCCACCTTCCCACCTGCCTCCCAAGGCAAAGAGAAGAGATTAGACACATCCCCAATCTTCATATTCCTGCCAGACCCTTAAAGGGATGCCAAATTCATTTAATATACAAGAATTGTTTCAATCCATCAAAGTAGACATTTCTTTAAAAAAAAAGAGCTCCCAAATTCAGCTTCTTATATTACGTTTTGAATTTTCCCATCAACCCCATTCCCTTAAAATCACACTCATCCTTCAACTAACGTCCTTTGGGAACATCCAACTAGGACAGAGATAAAAATATTGGGTAGACAGGAGACATGTCCTCTGGCATCATTCAGCAGCTTAGCTTGGCTCAGTGTCCAGCCTCAGCAGTTTCCAAAGTTGGAGTCAGGACTGTATACATTAGTCTGCTACATTCCTCTGCTGGCCAGAAGCCACATAGTGGTTATAAAATTTGGTTTGATTTAGTTTGTTTGTGTGAGTAATTAAAAATTCTTTAGTCTCTTTTATCTGTAGGGAACTCGGATGTGAATGACAGAGACAGAATGGAGACCGGAAGACTCTCTGTTTCTAATTCTCAGAAACTTCCAGAAACATGCCCCAACTCCAAATTCACACGTACCATGTTTTCCTCAAAGTCACCTTCACTCCATATTAGGCCTTCTCTAAACCTTCCTGTCCTCCAATTATCTTTCTTGTCAACCTACAGCTCCTTCCACCCCTACCCCCCCTCCTTAAACTCACCTCTTCCCAAGTCCGATGTTTGCTAAGTGAGATTACAGCCAAAGATGGATTGATCAGGTAGCCGTCCTCATTAAAGGAGAAGTCCTTGTCACCCCAAGTGACATTCATGAAATATCTGTGTGAAAAGGCAGAAGGGAAGCTCTTTGGACAACCCCAATCTGTGTCTTTAACCCCTACTTTCTTTCCTGTCCTCATGCCTGACACCAAAGACTTTTATCCAAAGTCTGAGACAGAGTACTTGGGAAGATGTGGACTAGGCTTCTAAAAGAAACTAAGGGGAAAAAGCCAGTTCTGAGTAGAGATGGATGACATGTGTGCGGAATTCAGTTTGTGAGCATGACGTGGTGGGGAACAGGTAAAATTGCAGAGAGAGAAAAAAACAGAGCTACCGTATTCCTTGACCGCTGCAGAAAAGCTAGCTGACTTTGGGGCCCCCTCAGCTAAATCCAAGCAACTTTTCTCACTAATAAATTAGGATATTCTCTACCCACTTTAGAAACAATACAAAAGAATGTCAGCATTCAACTTGGTGTGCCCATTGCTAATCCCTTACATCTGCCTTCCTTACATCTGTTCCATGTAGCAGTCATGATTTGTGTATGTGTCACTCATTATTGACCACATGAGTTGTCTTCTTGTCCAGGTTTTACATCTATCCCCTTATTATTGGCCAATGGGGAAAACATGAACTGGCATGGGTCTGGCTTCAATATTCTCCTTGTCTTTTCTCCAGTACTGCATTTCTCCTTCATTTGAATAACTTCCAAGTAAAAATAATGTGAAATAAAGAAGGCCCAGAGGAGCAAATCAAACCAGAGAAGAAGAAAGGTGGTCCTGTCCTTATCCTGTGCTCTACCTTAAATTAGAATGGCAGAACTGACACTGACTAGCTGCTTCCATGAATGGGATTGAAACTGATAAATAAAAGGAAACTTGTAATTAAGCAACCAAGCCACTTCGGCATCCCTTATTCTGGAGACTACAAGGAGGATTATCAGAGCTGTTGGATCTGAAGATAAAAATACAGCTTGGAACACCATTATGGAGTTCCAAGCTGTATTTTGCAGTGCCAAGGAGGAAGTATAGTATGACTATGCTCAAAGACATAACAGAGGAATAGAGTTGGACTCCAGGTGGTTAGATACAACTGTGGTCCATTCAGTCTTATGCCATTTGTAAATGTATACATGATGCAAGATTTTTTATTGCTTAAGATGAGCCTTCTCCAATTGTCTTGGATACAACACAATCTGATGCCAGCTGGGAAAGGTGAAAGCTGTATCCAACACATCTGGGAGGCGTTAGATTGTGGAATTAAATGGGTGGATGATGTGCAAATCAAGAAAAGAATGAAAGTGGAGAAAAAGGCACAGGGTGGGAATAAGTCAGAGTTTTTCGTGAAAGGGAATAGTAGATTCCTTTTGATTGTACTACCTGTTCTGGACCATGGTAAACCTGACTAGAGTATGTATCAATATGTTAGAATCTGGCATTTATTGGGTTAAGTGCTATCTCCTTAAGAGATGGCTTTTGGGTAATGTAGTTTAGCTAGTCAGCTATATCATGTTAGTAGGTCAGTGGGAGGAGTTTCTAAAAGGCATTGGAGGATTTCCTGGACACGAGCCAGAGGGGAATGTTCTTTGTCTGAGAGAAGCATGAAGCCATTCGGACATCTCAATTGACTTCATTCCAAGCTACAAGCTGGTATGGAGGTAGCATTATTTTCTCACCTATGGAATGAATGGACGTGTAATATCCAGAAGCAACCATCATAAAATGCAAGTAATTCTCTGAATAAATATATGTCTGTTTTGCAATCATTTCTATTGAGTTTATCTATCTGACCCGGGTTTACAACGCATCTTAATTCTGGGTCAGGATACTACCCTCCCCCCTAAAATGCCCTCCCCAGCCTCTTTCCCTGCTAACCGATGTAGATTCTCGTTGAACTGGGTGAGATTGGGTGCCCGGCAGTCGCTGTTGAATTTTGGAATTGAGCCGTAGACTTGGAAGAGGGCTTCAGCCCCTTTGGCAATTATGGCCACACCGTTTTGTACTCTGTGGTAAAGATCGTCTTTCCATCCTGCTGAAAGCACCATGAACAGACCCTCGGGCAGTTCCTCAGGCAGATAGGCAGTTCTACCAAAGTTGGCGCCTGCCATGAACCAAATATACCCAGGACCAGTAAGTTTGACTTCACGAGCGGCACGGAAGATGCTTTCGGCTTCTTCACGGGAACAGTAGAGAAGGCAAATACGGGCATTTATTTCTCGGAGCTGGCGTTTCAGGCGGGCTCCATCTGGGTCATCGGTAAGGTTAAGGGTCACAGTGCTGCGGCGTTCCCAACCAATGAAGCTGCTGTCAGTCAGGACCTCAATGTAATCTACAAAATCTTCATAGCCAGGAAACAGGGTAGTAATGACAGCAAATGCTGTCCAGTCATATTGTTCCAGGACCTCAAACATCACCTGCAACTGTTGTTTGGTGGAGGAACCAAGCTGCAGGAATGTTGATCCTTTCTCCTAGGGATTTTAGAAAGGACAAAAGTGATCAGGCTGAAAAGCAGAAACAGTTTTACACATGTATTTAATTGTAAAATCTATTGGCTGCCCACTTTATCACAAGGTAATTCAATCTTAAAATGAATTTTCCCCTTGTTTTCCATCCAGATTCAAATAAAGCACACAAATTTCCAAATGTTTTCAGCTGAGGAGATAAAAGGTCAGTTTTAAATTCTGCTTTTAACCCAGCCCTTCCCAGCAAACTGTCTTTCACAAAAATAATTCCCAAAGACTTTATGAACAGAATTAGATCATCTTGTTAGAACTATTAGCTCCTATCCGTAACTGAAAATGAAGATAAAGTATAATTATATTATACCTCGGTAATATTGATCTTTTCAACTCTGCTAGTATTTCTTAATCCCTACCAAATCCCCTCCCCCACGTATACACATTTCTGTACATCTAGCATTTAAATGATCTCCTAAGGGCCCTTTTTCCGAATTGTTTGCCGATTTCTATTAAGTGACCAAGCTTCCATGTATGTTCAGGTAGCAGAATAAGCACAGGAAGTTATGTTACCTTGGGAGTAAGAACAATGGCTGATCCTCCATTGATGCCAATGATTGGAACTGAGGTCTGTGCTGAGATGAAGTCCAGGATCTGGGCAACGTCCTCCGTTCGCGTATCATCCTCAAAAACGACTCCATGGATATGCAAGGAGGAGAGGACATCACAGAGCCGTACAATTAGGCTACGAGGATTGGTGTCATTCAGAACGACAGGGATGGTGTTGATCTCCATGGAAAAATTGCGAAAATCCTCAAGTGAGAACCGGGCACTTTCTGGTGTATAGGTTGAGCCACTGAAAATAATGGGAATGTTGATGGTTCGTCGCCGTAGGTCCAGGAAAGGGCTGGCACAGGCCAGAGCCATAACAAAGAGCATCCTAGCAGCGGGGGTGCCCGGGGGCAGGCTCATCTCGCAGGACCTCTAAGTTCCCCCTGTAGAAGGTTGGAAGAAGAAAGAGACTAGGGAATTAGAAGCAGAAGATCAAAGAGGACAGGAGGCCGATTGTGACCTCAGAGCTCAAATGGAAAGAATTTGGCTTGGTGTTTGGGCTAGTCTAGACTTTCTCTCCCAAGGCAGCTCTTGATGGTGCCCAGTTCCTTTATATCAGGGGTCTTCAACCTTGGCTCTTTTATGACTTGTGGACTTCAACTCCCAGAATTCCTCAGCCAGCATCCCTGACTGAGGAATTCTGGGAGTTGAAGTCCACAAGTCATAAAAGGGCCAAGTTTGAAGACCCCTGCTTTATATCAGAGGTGGGGAACCATGGTTCCTTTATGATTTGTGGACTTCAACTCCTATGGGTGACTCAGGAATTCTGGGAGCTGAAGTCCACAAGTCATAAAAGGGCCATCATTCCCCACCTCCACTTTATATCATTCTCCTTCCCCTGCTACACGGACCAGCTCAGGGTTGGGAAGGTAAAAAAGAGAATCCGTTGATCATATGAAATGACATAACTCTTTCTCCCAAACTGTACATTTCCCAATTTCTCTTCCCTGAAAGGTCAGTCCTTCTGAACTCCAGTCCTATAGATGTACAGGTAGTCCTCAACTTATGACCACAGTTGAGCCCAACATTTCTGCTGCTAAACAAGACAGTAAGTTTTGCCCCACTTTACAACCTTCCTGCCACATTTGTTAAGCAAATCACTGCAGCTCTTATGTTAGTAAAATGGTTGATAAGTGAATCTGGCTTCCCCATTGACTTTGCTGGTCAGAAGATCGCAAAAGGGCAGTGTTTCTCAACCTTGACAATTTTAAGGCATGTGGACTTCAACTCCCAGAATTCCACAGCCAGCAATGCTGGCTGTGGAATTCTGGGAGTTGAAGTCCACATGCCTTAAAATTGTCAAGGTTGAGAAACACTGCAAAAGGGGGGTTGCATGATCCTGGGACACTGCAACCATCACAAAACCACGCCAGTTGCAAAGCATCCGAATTCTGATTAAATGACCATGGGGATGCTGCAACAGTCCTGTGAAAAACAGTCATTAAGTGCTGCTGTAACTTTGAACAGTCAATAAATGAATGGTTGTAAGTTAAGGACAACCTGTATATGGCTGAAATCCCATCATTTCCAACTAAAAATCAGCACTTCACCCAAATCTATTGAACCTAATTCAGAGTCTGAATGTCAGTTGTCAGTCCTTCGCTACATTTGTACTATTCCGAAGAAGAAGATTAAGCCAGGGATTAGGCCAATTAAAGAAAATCAAGCTAACCGTAATCAGGGCTTTTTTTTTTTTTTTGTCATAGAACGCCCAGAACGGAGTTCCGGCACCCTTTTTGGATGGAACGTTGTAGGGTAGGCAAGGCAGGTTGTATGACGTGTGTGAGTTCCGGCACCTTTTTTTTTTTTTTTTTTACAAAAAAAGCACTGACCATAACATAGACTGAGTGTAGCTCAATGGAATTGATTCAAATGAGATAGGACTGATAACCACTTAGCTGTGGTTATGTACAGGTAATCCTTGATTTATGACCACAATTGGCACCGGAAGTTAAGTGAGTCACACCCAAATTTATGAACTTTTTTTACCATGGCTATTAAGGGAATCATGTGGTTGCCAAGGGAATCTGGTTTCGCCCACTGTCTTTGCTTGGGAAGGTTACAAATGGCGATCACGTGTCCCTGGGATGCTTGCAACAATTGTGGATACATGCAAGTTGCCAAGCATCCAAATTTTGATCAGGTGACCGACCATAGGGATGCTGTGATGGTTGCAAGCAGTGCTTTTTTTTTGTAAGAAAAAAGGTGCTGGAACTCACATATTATTAATCTTTTATTTAAAAAAATTATATATTCAGTTCTTAGCAGGACCGATGGTTGAGAAGTAACTAGTATTTTTTTTTTCATTTTTAAATTTGGGATCACACTTTTACACTAAAAATTTAAAAAAGATTTTCAATTCACCAAAATAAAGAAAATAAAGAAATTATTTACCTTTGGCACGTAGTCAATCAGTGTACACATACTCAGGCATCTCAGTTGTGTAACGAAACCTAACGGTCGCCGCCTGCAGTAAGCACTCAGCATGCGACCACACAACCAATCACAAGCCGAGCAGCGCCATCACAACCGGCGCAGACGAAGTACGCATGCATCGGACTCGACACACAAGCAGCCCGCATGCACCATTTTAATGATTTAATGACTTGCTACACTCGACGGGGCAATTCAAGTCCATGTGGACCCAACCATCAAATTTTCAAAAGTTACTTTTAAAACTTGGAAACTCCATCAAAAAAATGTGCTGGAACTCCGTTCCAGTGCATTCTATAACAAAAAAAAGGACTGGTTGTTAGTGCGAGACCACTGAACTCTTTTTTCAGTGCCACTGTAACTTTGAACAGTCACTAAACAAATGGTTGTAAGTCAAGGATTATCTGCACATAATATAATTTCTTTCACTGCATAAAAATGGACGCTCAGACATTGTGAAATGCTACTTCAGAAGCAGAGGGCCAAGTCCCACAAAATGAAAGCCTCATCTCTGGATTTCAAACGTGCATTTTTGTTCCTGCCATCGTTCCTACCTAACACTCCACCAAATTTGGTCATGGATCTCGTCTGGCTGATGTTGGGTCACTCGGTCTTAACCTGAGCTACTTCACAAGATGATTAGGGGGGGAAATGATGGGAGACTCTACTTTTTGTCGTCAAGAGAAAAGATATCAATAAATACTTACTATTTATAGGCAGGGCATGTTTTAATATATGAGACAAGAAGCCCTTCAAAGATGAAATTCCCATTTATTTGGAAACACAATCCAGGAAACTTTGCAGTGTATAATCTTTCTGTTCATAAAGTTTTTCTCTAATATAAACTATGCAGAAACCACGTCTAATTATTGTGGGGGTTTTTTTTATAATGCTTTATCATCCAAACTCTTGAATTACTAGTGGAAGCTACTGATTTACTAAGAAATGAGGCAGGAAGGTTATGTATGGCAGGAAGGATGTTTTTTTTTGTGTGTGTGTGTGTGTGTGCGCGTGCGCATCTGTGTGTGTGAACCAATCCTTAAACTCCCTGATGTCCTAGGAAGGGAGTGAGGATTTACCCTTTTGTGCCTACAAATTGCAAGTATCTAACTGGGATTATTTTCATCTCAGCTAAGGAAAAAAGGTCAGCAGAAACCTGCAAATTAAAGGCAGAGGCTAAACACACACATCCTTGACCCCCAGTTTTATCCTATAGATACTCAGTCCTTACCATTCAGGTGCTACACAGCCAAGAGAGTCTCCTGGTATGTTAGACAACTGGCAGCTGGACAGTTTTAAAGCTATAATTAACCACCTGTCGCTATCTCTGTGTGCCCATCGAAAACCTGTTCTTCACAAGGGAAATTCTTACCACAAGGTAAAATGTTACAAAGAATCCTAGGTTGCCTTCACTAATTTTTATTACCACTTTTACCCTGAAACAGACTATCTATGTGGCCATTTACCCACACAGCTCTCCACAAAGAGTCATTCTGAGATATCAGTAACCTTAAGCTGCTGCTTATTTCCTTTCCTCCTGACATTTCACCCACATTCACCAAAAGTGAACTAGTTTGTACGCAGGACATACGCAGGACACAAACAGGCACACACACACACCCAAACATGCAGCCTACAAGAACTGAATCAATTCTCTCTCCCTCCCTCCCTCCCTCCCTCCCTCCCTATCTGTGTGTGTGTGAGAGAGAGAGGGAGGGAGGGAGGGAGAGAAAGAGAGAGAGAGAGAGAGAGAGAGAGAGAGAAAGAATATTAACAGAATGGTTTAACTTGTAGTTACATTGAATCTTTCATTTGCCTCAAAGCAATCTGCCAAACCCAATTGATCATTAGTACAAACACTTTATAGACAATGGAGAAGCATCTTCCAAGTCTGCTTCATAAATTACATGAAGTATTTTTAGGGTGCTCCTAAGAATACAAAAACCTCTGACAATAACTCTCAAAATAAAGCAATACAGTTTATTTCCACACACCCCTGATGGAAGAAAAATCAGCATTGGGAAAAACATGTATTCTCTTACGTGTGGTTTAAAGAATTTACTAGTACCTACGGTTTCTTTCTTTCTTCAGAAGTCCTTTAATTATGGAACAAGAGCACTCATTCAACGTACAGGTAGTCCTCGACTTACAACATTTCATTTAGTGATCGTTCAAAGTTACAACAGCACTGAAAAAAGTGACTTATGACCATTTTTCACACTTACGACTGTTGCAGCATCCCCATGGTCACGTGATTAAAATTCAGACGCTTGGCAACTGACTCATATTTATGACGGTCGCAGTGTCCCGGGGTCACGTGATCCCCTTTCGCAACCTTCTGACAAGCAAAGTCAATGGGGAAGCCAGATTCCCTTAACAACCATTTACTAACTTAACAACTGCAGTGATTCACTTAAAAACTGTGGGAAGAAATGTTGTAAAATGGGACAAAATTCACTTAACAAATGTCTCACTTAGAGACATACATTTTGGGCTCAATTGTAGTCGTAAGTCGTGGACTAGCTGCATTTGTGGATTGTTCAGATTTGAGGACCTTCTAACCACAACAATTAGAAAAATAAGAGTTTTTCAAATTATCAGGAAGCTAAAAATATGGATTGGGCTAGAAGGAAAACTTCTGATAACTTTTTCTTTTTATAGCATAGATAAAAGTAAAATGCATATTTTTTTATCAACTGATTTTGAAAGAAATCAGTTGCCACATAGATGAATCTGAATTCACAAACTGTATATTTCAACCCTATTTTGATAATAACAGGAACAACATGACTATCTATCTATCTATCTATCTATCTATCTACCTACCTACCTATCTATTTTCGTAGATTTTCACAGGTATAGGTATGCAGGTCTTGGTGTATTCGGGTCTTTTCCCGTGTAAGATTGAGAGTATCTTGGTGAAGAGTGGGACCTCGTCGAAACGTCGCCA